GTATCAGAACTCTAAAAAAAATGTCACATTTTTAAATATAGTGTGCCAATTTCACACAAGTCATTTGGTCGACCTAATCAAATAATTTTTCCCATGTAATTCTGTAAATAAATATATATAAATACTTTCAGCAGATTAGGTTTTGGCGAGAGTACTGAAGGCGAAAAGGATCCCGAAGACGAGGTAAACGAGTACCTGATGCGAGCGATCGACGCTAGAAGCATAGATCAATTGCGAGCGGAGCATTGTACGCCCTTTATATTGACGTTTCGAAGACCGGATGTCGAAGAAAAGGTCTTATAAATCTCAATATTTTAAATTCATTGCACGAGATCTATTCACAGTTGCCTAACTTTTACTTTCAACTAATAATTTCGTCTTTTACGTCTCTTGGAATCTTGACAATGATTTTTCCGTCTTTCTGTCTCTTTCTCTTTCTCACACGTTTTCTCACGCGACAATACAGGGTGTTCAGCGCAAGACCGCGTACGAAACCACCTGTGAAGGTAGAGCACGTCCACTATCTGAGCATGAGAACCTCTGTTATTTCGCAAACAATGACGTGGAATGTCGAAATATCGAAAAAGGAAGATTGGCAAACTGAAGCGCGTGACGTTATGAGATGAAGTCTGTTAGACTTTCGATGAATTTTCATCTCATCGAAAATGGTTGAAACGCGCGCTCTGGTTCGTCAATATTTTTCATTGATATCTCGAAATTTTATGTGGTTGTTTGCAAAATGCCAGAGATCCCCTTGGTCAAGTTGACTTGCTCCACCTTCACACGTTTCGTATGTCTTGCGTCAGGCACTCTGCATATTCGTTGGAATTATCGCCTTTTCACCATTTTATGGACAATTCAATTTAACGGGATAAGTGCGAAGCAGACGAGACCATAATTACATACTAAACTATCGACAAAGTACACACACACACATATTGCGTATACAATTAAACACGACCGGCCCCGGAACCGGTAATTCGCACTAATAGAAGTCCGTTTAAATTTCATTTCGATTAATTCTCTAATCGCGTGCGTTTAGATTATCCCGATTTCACGTGATTTGAACTCACGTTGCAATCGACTCGATGAAATTCTATATTTTCGTCACGAGGCGCGCTGTGTGCCGCGTAAAAGCCGTAGTTAAAGCCCGTATTCGTTATGCGTCTGATAATAAAGAGAGAAACAATGCACGGCATTGCAATTGTTTTAATAACCTGTTGCAGTATTCGCGCGAGAGGGACAGGATGCTCTCGGCTTACTTCGTGTGTTCCGGTTTCGTCTACATGGTCGTTGTGGTTGCGACTGCCATCACCGGCCTCGCCGGGTAAATACGCCGCACGTGTCAATATAAATACCGCCTTCTGTAGTCTGCGCGGTATCTTTGTAACTCTTAACCCTTTCGCGCTACCAATTTTTCTTTTTAAACATACAATTCTTCCTTTACTTTCACTTCCTTAAATAAATACATCAATATATACAATGCAGTTTTGTCTAAAAAATTAAAAGTTTCGTGTTTGATGTCAAAGGGGGGCAGAGTCGGAACACTGATGTCCCATTAATGTTTTTAGGAGGATATATTTATTTCAACGCAGTAATAAGTAGAGCGACAGCTGATGTGTTCTGTGTTCTGAATGCCAAAAAAGTTGTTTATATTCAATTGAACAAGGTTATTATTAATGATGGGGGACATTGAGACTAGACGTATGCAAGAAAGGGTTTTAAATCTGAATATCCTTAAATTAATTACACGAGAAATATACAATTGCTTAACTTTTTCTTCGAGCTAATTATCTTTTCCGTCTCCTGGAAGCTTCGCGGCAACTTTCCTCTCACGCTCTCATGCGACAATATATTCGTTGGAATTATTGTCTTTTCTCGATTTTACAGACAATTTAACTTAACGGGGAACTTAAGTGCGAAGCGAGGGGGGATGAGACCATAATTACATATTAAACTATCGACAGAGTATACGACATCTATCGACACTAACTATTGACAGTGGTACGTCCCGTTGGTAGCGAAAGGGTTAAAGCTCATCTGCAATACATGGAGTAAACGGCGCGCAAGAGTAACAAATCAAAATAATGTATTTCGCCTCATATTCTAGCTCACTTGTAATGAAAGTATTTTTCTTACTCGCGAGAAGTACTTTCGAGGTAAGGAAAGCTGGAGCACAGACGCGTAGATAAAATAAATTCTTTTCAGTTCTTATTTCAAGTTTACTCCATGTTGTAAACGAGCCTTTATAGTCGTGCGAAAGACAATGTGCACACTCTCACTTTATATTGTGCTCCAGCAAATTCCTCCGTTTCAATATTCACGAAGCTTTTCGCGAAAAAACAATCTGACCAGAGTTGCAAAAATACCAATTAATCTCAATTTAATAATTGATTCGAGCAAATATATATTGATTCATCTGATTGACGATTGTCTCAAGAGCCGAATCAATCGAGGAATGTTAAATTGACGATTGATTTCGATGAATTCAACACAAAATCGCTCAATTGACGACTGATGTGAGCGTCAAATATCATTCAATTAACAATTGAACTTAGTAAATTTAATTAGAGGCCTTTCAACTGACGATTGATACGAGCAAAATCAATCGATTCGATTGAAAAGGGTTCGATCAGTCAAGGTTAGTTGGTTGGTTCTGTATATAATATTGGAAGGAGAAGAAGGGACATCGTGGAAAATGCTGATGATTGAGAAGCGCTAATTCGGGAGCACTCATATCGTCAAATAGGTCAAATTGTCATCAAACAATTTTTGACTAAATTTGCTCACATGAATCGTTAATCAAACGACTTTCAATTGTACTAAGTCCAATTATGAAATTGAACGATCTTAAATTCCATTCGCTCATATCAGTCGTCATTCGAACGATCTTTAATTGAATTTATTGGAATCAATTGTCGCCTGAGCGGTCCGCGATTGAATTGGCTCATATTAATCGTCAATTAAACACGATGATTAAAAAAAAAAACTAACGAATTACAACCTAGGACACAGTTGGCGTAGAGTGACATAAATACGATTTCGTCGAGTTCCTCAGACGAAAACACGGAGCTCTAAGCACACCCTCTTCTTCGTCTTTTGCAGAAGCGAATACTTCTACGTCTGCACTGCAATTAGCATACTAGTGATAGTCCTGGTGAATGTAGTCTTGTCAGCGGAGAAGAACGAGGTGAGTTTTTCACGACGTGCCCGGGATCCCGAGGACGCGTCTTTTATTATCTTCTTTTCTTTCCTTCTCTTCCGCCACGGAAGAGAATTCTTATCGTCGGGACACGTGTATATCGCCCCGGTGTTTGTCGACACGCACGTAGGCACGATATTTGAATAAATCGCGCGATACGACACGTCCCACAACGGATCGATGGCGGGCCTCTTTGGAAACGTGCCACTTCCTCTTGACCTTGATCAGGTGGCAGGATTCCAGGTCACCGGCGAGTCTCTATATCGATTCTTCGCATAGCGCGTCCATCGATCTCGCGACAGAGCCTCGCAAGCGGAGCGCGCGTCTCATGAATTTCTCAGATTTAATTAATAAAGCCGCGGCAGGAGCAGGGGGGAGAGCGAAAGGTAACCGCGTTTTTTTGCAGAGGGTACCGGCGTGGGTGAGAAACGCATCCCTGCAGATCTTTGAGAATCGCTCAGTCGCGCGAAGTGTCGCGTCCATCGTCGTGTTCCTGACGTTCCTCACGGTGCTGTCGCCGCTGGTGAGTGACCCGTAACGGACGCGTGAGGTGCAATTTATTAACAATTTATTTAGGAAATTCATTACCCGAGAGATATCTTGAACCGGGAAGCCATTTATTATATTGACATTAATCCGCCAGCCAGCCGTTCACCCGATTGCGCAGTGCTCGTCATTTATCATTTTTGTAAAAAGAAAAAAAGAGAAAAAAAAATATCAGTCACGCGAGATTACCCATTCACTTCCGCAATGAGCCACAGTCTTCGGCATAATCTTTCTCATCTTTTGTAATCCGACGCGGCGCTACGGTCTGAAATTATATGGCGCTGAAATTGTAGCGCCCGTGTAGATTGGAGTCAGCAGCGCCAAAACTTTGGCTGACAAATCGCGCTGTTGCGCCTCGCCAGAGCGATCAATCATTGGACACCGCGGAATAACACTATTGGCGTCGGTAGCTCGCGATAAGAAAAGAAAGAAGGGAAAGATGTGCGAAGGGAAACCATCACGGGAATTTTCCACTCGCGTTCGAACGATTTAGCGCGCTCGCAGCGAAGGCAGACGCTAAAATAACGGGCGACTCGCGTCGCTCTTTCCTCGCCGCAGATCACGCTAGACGGAAGCGACGCTTGCGCCGCGGAATGGCTGGATAATTCTACCGTGAAAAGGAATATCGCCTCGAGGCCCGAGGAATACCGTGTCTGTCACTACAGCCTGTTCTGCGATGTAAGTCGAATATAAATAAACGAGACACCGAATACGTATTGAACGAGACGGGAACAGGCCGACGCGCGCTCGCCTCGTCGTCGTGAACGAGACGCGCGACGCGCGGATTCTACATTTAGAGCGAGAATTTCGGAAAACGCGAACGCGGAGGCGGGGGAGGAGAGGGTAGCGCGAATCCGCCGACTGACACCTCGCTACTGCCGTTGATTGCAGCTGTTTCCGGTTCTGGTGGTGCTGGTGATGGTGACCTGCGCGGTGTACCAGATCCTAACGTCGGTCTTTAAAGTGGCCGTATTGAGCATCATTGTGGCTTGTTATCTCGGGGTCAGCATTTACCAGGCGCTAAATGAGAACCACGTCGAGTCCATTGAAAGATGGCTGGCGGGCGTTCTGGTTGTCTTCTTCATGGCCTGCCTGGTGGCACACTCTCAGCACACAGAGGCGACCTACAGGTCGAACATTCAATTGCTTCGTGCCGCTCTAACAATGCCTCCGTCCAGCTTGAGCAGCTGACGCGTCACAGCTCGTAGATATATCCAAAGTCTCGCGTCATAAGCCGCGGAGAGACCCTCGCGGAATTTCCCACGAGGACCTCCCGTCTATTATAGCGGGCTTGAGCGGCCGCGTATCGACGATTCTCCTCGATTGATTCGCGAGTGGAATGAGCTCGCGTTTACCGTCCGACGGGCAGCAATGCGTATCGAGAAGCATGTAAATTCATTTGCGCGCAACTAATGCAAAATTCATAAATCTCGTTCATAAATCCACGTTGACATTTTGGATGCATATTTGATTGCCGAGAACGCGTCGATTGTATAAAATATGCAGTTGCTATGTGCGAGCACGTATTAATCAAGTTTCCCCACGAATTGCCATGAAATACAAATTCATCGTGAAACACGCACGTGTGTCGTTTCGGAAAATCGTCGGAAAAATCGCACGCGTTTTACATAAGACGCGTTGTACGCCCCAAGGGAACACCACGCGTATCGGCGGAAAAGAATTACGAAACTTTCCCATAACTCGCGCGACGGGTATCATGCGGTGAAGAATATTAATGCACCGTATGCCGATACAGATTAGACTTCCTGTGGAAGCTGCAAGCGACCGAGGAGAAGGAGGAAATGGAACATTTGAAGGCCTACAACCAGAAATTGCTCGCAAATATACTCCCGGAGCACGTGGCTGCCCACTTCCTATCTACTGTCAATTCGGACGTAAGTTATATTCGGATTGTATTCTCCAATACGTCTTTTTTTGAGGAAAAATTTCGTCAAGGACGGAATCTCTTCAAGGGGGACCTTTTGGAGAAATGTAATCTCAGAAAGTTCCGGAGTAACTTTCGAGACGGTTTTACATTATTAATTGTAAATTTCCTGGTGCTAATTTTCTGCGAGTCTTTTTTGGGAAAAATTTTACTGAAAATCTGCGAGTCTTTTTTGGGAAAAATTTTACTGATAAATCACATTACATGTATTACGGATATGTACGGATTTTCAATAAAATTTTCCTCAAAAGGAACGTTTTGGAGGAATGCGACTTCAAATAGTTTCGAGACGATTTAGAATTATTGGTTGTAGATTTGCATTATTAATTGTAAATTTCCTGGTGTTAATTTTCTGCGAGTCTTTTTTGGGAAAAATTTTACTAAAAATCTATAAATCACATTACATGTATTACAGATATGTACGGATTTTCAATAAAATTTTCCTCAAAGGGAACGTTTTGGAGGAATGCAACCTCATTTAGTTTCGAGATGATTTAGAATTATTGGTTGTAGATCTCGTGTTACTAATTTTCCACAAATTTTCAATTTTAACTGCAATAAAACTGACTTTGCGGATAATCTTGTCGCTTAATTATTAGGCGATTATTTTCAAACCCGAGGAAACTGCACAGGACAGGTAACGTTCTCGAAACGCAAACGGGTGAAGACGGGAATATTCACAATGCATTCTGACACTTTCAACAAGATTAAACGACTATAGATTAAACAATTTACTCAAAGGATGTAGAGTCGAGTTTTGTTATGCATTTCGAGAAGCTTCCCTTAATAAAATCAACTAACTTTCAAACTTTTCGTAAACCTTCCCGTGTCAGCGTTAGTAATGCAAAGACATTTCAAATTGCTTCTTCGCGTCCCTTTTCTAATTGAAATCAAAAGAAGACGATCTTAATTATATTGTGAATACCATCGCTTATATATATATATATATATATATATATATATATTACAATGTTTGCGGTTACGAGAAGGGTTGCGCCAAGATTAATTGAACGATGTCGCGCGTGTTGTCGATTCGAATGAGGGTTCGGGGACGGAATTTCAAAATTTCCGTGTGTACATACGGACTAAAGACCCTCGGTTCGAGTGTTAAATTGCCCAGCCTTCTTGAAACCTCAATATTTACCCATTTGCCTAATTGCCGTGTCCACCATTCTCGAAAGTGATTCTACATTTAATAGTAAGACTCGAGATATCTCAACGTGATCTGTTCAAAATTCAGTCTCGCCTCATTTCACTACACAAATGCACCTTCGAGATAATAAAAGTAAACAGCAGAGGAACTATGCAGCGGAATCTCAGAGCTATCTGCGAGCTACCGTCTATCGATCCATATTTCGGCATTATTTCTACCGACCCGCCAGACTTACCCGAGTAATAGCGCGAGCAACACAATGTATCGTTTGTTCCGCAGGAGTTGTACCACGAACAATGCGACTTTGTGTGCATAATGTTCGCATCGATCCCCAACTTTTCCGAGTTCTACGTTGAACTCGAGGCGAACAACGAGGGCGTGGAATGCCTCAGGCTCCTCAACGAGATCATCGCTGACTTCGACGATTTACTCGCCGAGGAGCAGTTCAAGTACATCGAGAAGATCAAGAGCACAGGTTCCACGTACATGGCTGCATCGGGTATGTACCGTCTGCGAATTCTTACAAGAAAACCTACCTAAAAATTACACTCCGATTTCTTTCTAATTTGGCACAAATGTAGAAGTACAAAAAATATTTAGGTCATATTTTTTCATTTTAGCCCACTTTGAATTTCACGGGCAATTTATAGCTTTTTAATATTCTCACTATCATCAAGTATAACAAAAAAAACATAAGAAATAAAATTAAATACAAGATATAGTTAAATAATTTTAATAAAATCGGCATAGTTGAGACATGAACAATTCTAAATTTCTTTAGCCGAAATTCCAACTGAAATATTTTAAATCTGTGCTAAATTAGTCAAAAATGGTTCGAATCTCAGCCAAATCGAGAAATTATTTGTATAAATAATTTCTTTCAACTTTTTACATGTTTTGTTTAAACATTTTATTATTTATACAAATAATTTTAACAAAATCGGCATAGCTGAGACACGAACCATTTTAAATTTTTTTAGCCAAGATTCCAAAAAATATTTTAAATCTGTACCAAATTAGGGGCATAAATGGTTCGAATCTCGGCCAAATCGAAAGAAATTAATCAATTTTAATTAAAATTTTAACAAAATTGGCATAGTTAAGACACGAACAATTCTAAATTTATTTAGCTGAAATTCGAAACAAAATATTTTAAATCTGCTAAATTAATCAAAAATGATTCGAATCTCGACTAAACCGAGAAATTATTTGTATAAATAATTTTGTTCAACTTTTTACATGTTTTGTTTAAACATTTTATTATTTATACAAATAATTTTATACATTTGACTTTATATATATCATATATATATATATCATAATGAACAAATAAATGCCTTTCTCTAAGTGTGAGCACTCGATGGGGTTTTGATTTCGATCCTGAGAGCCGCTTTTGCGTGCTCCATTGACTTTTATATCGTCAACATAGAAAAACAGAGTCTCATGTCTCTGTTCCGTGCAAAGAAATTCTTATCTTAATTCCGGTAGAGTCTTTCAAACGACCAAGAGGAGGTCAGATTCGATTTTTCCTTGACTTTTCATGTGATTTTCTTTTGCGCAATCTCCTAACAAGACGGCGTGCTAATTGAATCACGGACGACACGGTAGCACGATCTGTCGTCGCACCAATTCACTTTTGTTTTTTTCTGTTTCCCTCAGGCTTAACGAAAAGCACCTGCGATATGCGGGATTTCAAGCATGTAGTCGCCATGGCGGATTACGCCCTGAGGATTCGCGAACAGCTGGCCTATGTCAATGAACACAGCTTTAATAACTTCCGCATGCGTGTGGGCATCAACATTGGACCGGTAATGTCGAAGAGCGCGAGAAGCGAGTAATATTTTCGGCTGCATGCTGTGCCGTCGCTCCTTTCGCGAATAATTCAATAGACTGCGCGTGAAAGAAGATATTTTCGAAATAATTGCAGCAATAACGATTGAACAAAATGACAGTTTACGTCAATTAATCATGAAAATATTGAATAACTTGCCAGAAAATTTTTCTATTACGATCCGGGAATAAAATAAAAAAATGTTATTTTCAATTTTAACCAATTTTAAAATTTGAAGAAATTTAAAAAAAGAAATGTCAAAAAACTTTGATATAGTTTTCAACGGTAAATGGTATTTTATGTTCATTTTTACTCGGCCAAAAGTGATCTAATTTTCAATTTTTAAATCCGTGTTGAAATTTAAAAATCTTAAGGTAAATGTACCAATGCCCGGACATGTACCAATCTCCGGATATTGTTATTATTTTTATATTTGAATATTTCAACTTTCAACGTACAATACATACATATTGGTATACATACATTTAATATTTGTATTTAGTATACGTTGAAAGATGAAATATTTAGAGAAATATTCAAAATAATAAGAGTGTCCGGAATTAAGTACATGTCCGGGCATTGGGACATTTACCTTACATGAATTAATCCTGGAAAACCTAAGTAATTTACCGGAAATTTTATATTACGAATTGGGAATGAAATAAAAAAAATGTTATTTTTTATTTTAATCAATTTTAAAATTTAAAAATTTGAAGAAACATTACGTTAAAAACTTCGATTCGGTACTTTATTTTTACTCGTCCAAAAGTGACTAAATCTTTAATTTTAAAATTATTTTTGAAGTTTAAAAATCTTAAGAAATATTACATCAATAATTACATCAATTTATTTTTAATCATCAATTTTCTTATCTATCAATTTTCAAAGAACGATGTATCATATTATTTATCACAAAGTAATCTAACTCGTGTATTTATCCACGCGATGTTCTTCGCGATATTCTCTTCCGGTATCAAGTTTTTCTTTTTCGTCTCGTGTTGGCTGCCAAGGTCCATGCACCTGAGCCCAGTTGCGGGAAAGAAAATCTCGATAACACTGTTGAAGATTCTCGGAGACGGAGGAGTTTAATGCGACACGACGGGTTCGCGCAGGTGGTCGCCGGCGTGATCGGCGCCAGAAAGCCGCAGTATGACATCTGGGGCAATGCTGTGAACGTGGCATCCAGAATGGACTCCACGGGCGTACTGGACGGGATTCAAGTCACCCAGGAGGTGCGCGATATACTGGTCGCTAAAGGATATCCGCTCACCTGCCGCGGGGCGATTCAGGTCAAAGGGAAGGGCAGTATGATAACTTACTTCCTGGACGGCCCGAGGGACGTCGCCAAGTCCAATCCGGACACCACCAAGACGAATTCTAACAACAACACCGACCTTACGGAGAAAACGGTCGCCAACAACAGCAACGGCGCCGTGTGATCGGTACTGTCGATGTATTGATAATTGAGTGATTAACACGTTGACTGCCATGATCGGTGATTGTACTTTCTAAAGTACAATCAATGTATTCTTCACTATAATAGAAATGCTATATTTATAGCTAATGGTTCAATTTTGCAAAATTTCACTGAAAGGATCAGTTGCTAGCAGCGACTGTTGCTATTATTGATGTAGTTTGCAAACACAGACAGTGTCATTGCATGCAAATTGTCGTTAATTCCGTCGTCAGAAACGCAGAAAGTTAAATTTGACACAGTCTATAAGTATTAATTTGTGCACTACAGATTTTGTAGTGGAATCTTACTTGCACCGCTCAAAATCAATGAGATAAAGGATGGAGTAGTAAAGTGAGAATGTTTCCATCGAAAATCAGTGAATATTCACAGATTATCAATACTCCTTTCACTGATTCAATCAGGAACATTGTTATGGAATGTTCCAAAGTTTAATTAAAGTTTGAATAACCCAAGTTACACATACTATATCTCTTGATACATATATTGGCGAATTAATTTTCTTAGTTCCCTATCGACCACAATATTCAATTTGTTAGATGCTATTAGTCAAACTTGGCGTGTCAATTAATGAAGTCATAGCGTCGATCACAGGTGACTCTCATGGCAGTCAAAGCGTTGAGATCGAAACTTTGTTCTTAGACAAACTCTCACACTTCCCCTCTCAAACACCAACAAGTGTTTCGTTATTGAGGTACATTATTGAGGTAAACAACGAGATAATAATAATAATATTTAACAACAGTATTGCCGACGTCAGTTTTCAAAATATTGAGAACATCAACATTGACCGATTTGTCGAGGAGGAAAAAGTGCTCGGCGTTATCTCGCAGTTTCGAAGACATTCACCCTCCCTATCCTCGCGATCGCGATTTACTGAATACATATGATGCATGTTTGATGCAATTGCAATATGGCATGATAATCGACCGCATAATCCGGCGATAAATTCAAATTCGCGTAGGGAGAAGGAACGCAAAAGGGGGTTATTATCTTGGGCGGATAACAACTTGGGTGGGTAATACACGAGCGCGGATGTCTATCTGAAATATTCCGCAAATTGCTGCCGAAGTATTCTAGTGTTATATTTCACCACGCGCCTTATAATGTCTATTTTTTCGCCGTACTTCGTATTTTTAATATACAGCCTAAAGGTTTGCTTTTGTTTGGTCCGCTTGACGTGGAGTCCGATGTTATGAAAAAAGATTGCAACGGCATCGATCTCTCGAATGTCCGACTCGAATCGACGCTATACTGCACGTGCTGTTGCACTATATTTTTCTAAGCGCGAAATTGCTATTACGTCAGACCACATCGATGAATTCGCCACGAGATTGGAGTGTTTCCACAGCTAGCAGCCGTTGAGGGTACTTTGCTTTGTTCTACTTAACGCGCACTCCGTGGAGTCCGGTGTTATGGAAAAGATTACAACAGCATCGATCTCTCGAACGTCCGACTCGAGTCGACGCTATTGCACGCGCTGTCGCGCTATATTTTTCTAAGCACGAAATTGCCATTACGTCAGACTACGTCGATGAATTTGCTACGAGATTGAAGTGTTTCCATAGCTGGACGCCGTTACGTAACACTCTGAACCGCGCGCAGTTGCAGGTAAATATACACGTATCGGCGGCGTCGACACGTGCACAATCAGTTGCACAACGTACGCGACGGATATTTATTGCGCGTGAACAGATCTCGTTATTGCGAAAAACGTCCACTTTGCCCAACGAAATGCACCGAATATGGACGACGCGCGAAAATTTTGTCCCGCGTAATGTAACGCGCGTGAAAAGGCGTACACGAACCGATCAATTAAATTAATCAAACGCTGATGTAACACCCAATCGGAAAATTGAGCGCAACGGTGATTACGGATTGAACAGTTAAAGATATATGTATTTAATGCACGGCTATACGATAATGGAAATATTTACAATTTTACCATACGCAAAATGGAATACGAGTCTCGGCCGTTTCGTTACTTCAGAATATGTGTTAGTCGACATTTTGATTCTATATTGAACCTGCAACTCCGTCGAGCTTGAGAGAACAACGGAGAATCTCGAGATGTGACACAAACTATTGTCTCGCTTTGATGATACAAATGATTATTACCGTATTCTCTGTGTTTATGTCTTAATGAAAGGTCTTCAGGATTCTGTATTTTACAGACAGATCTCAGAATTGTTTAAGTTGACTTCGAGCGCGTAATTAAGATAAAAGTAAGTAAAAAATGTTACCTACTTATAGTTAATCTCAAAGTCTTAGTTTTCACAAAGATTTTGTGTTGCAATTTTTATTACAATATTTTCTCGGTGCAGAGAATACGAATGAAGCCATTCCTCGTGCCATTACCACAGTTAATTACCGTGTTATTTATCATGAAACCTCAAAATCGTGACTAAACATAACGTTGTACCCCAAGTTGTATTACACAAGTTGTATTTGTAGGGCATCAGAAAGTTTTATTTTAATTCTAATCGATGTTGACAGGTAGGAATGCTCCAACAATTCGTGACGGACAACGCGCCAGAAAAAGTATCAATTAATTCCTGCGCCACTTAAGACTTCTTCCATGCGTATTCGACCCCAGAAATGTGTGTGCGTGTGCGTGCGCGCGCACGCGGATGTGTGTGTATGTGTGTGAGTGGCCTAGAGATTAGCTTCTGCCATGTAATTTCCAAGGCGCGTGGACGCAAATTGGAGTTGTCGAGTGCCGTTCCTAAACGGTCAATCGACCTCTAACGAACGAAATGATTGCGCTGTTAGTTTTTAAGTCACCCGGCAAACGAAGCGTGAGAGCCATTCGCAAGAGTAATATCGGCACATTCGGCGCGGATTCGATTTCTCGCGCGAATTTCTACGTTTCCCGTGTTTGATCGCGTGCCAATTGCTAAATCCGGCGGTCCAAAGAAACGTACGACTGCGAAGATCGAACTATCGAACAGTCAACAGAGTGAAAGGTAAACGCGAAATGCCTAAATCCGAAAACTTCTCGCGAGCCTTCATGTTCGCGATAAGAGATTTTGCAGTTATCTCAAACGACTGCAATAAATTTCTTTCTAAGTCGCACAAAGATATTATAGGTTGATTAATTTTTATAAATTTGAAATAGCGCGTGAGGAACGTAGGATTCGTTAAGAAGTTTATTCACTTACATTAAAATGCCTAAAATTATACACAATTTTAACGTAACATTCGTCGCAATACAAATACATTCATAGTTAAAGTTCCATGCGATTTGTCTGCACCGTTTCGGAGAAATTTAATACTGAATGTCGCAATTTTGCATACATAATTTCATGGTAGAAGCAATACAGATGTTCATTATTCCTGTGTAACTTCGTAAAAAGTGATACCATCCAAATGAAGAAAAGTAACCGTTATAAGTGTTACGTACGCTGAGAAAAAAGTACTTGGAAATTGTTGGATATGAATTTTATCTCACATAAAGAAATAAATCTTATATTCCATAAGTAAATTTTCAAGTAGGTTTCCTCAGTGTATTAGGAAATGTGACATGAAAGAATAGTATTCATTATATCGTTTTTATGTAATGTTCGATTATAGGACAGAAAAATTCGGTTTTAATAGAGGTACATTGAGTGAAATATGACAAAGTGGTATCGTAAAATTAGTTTCAAATTAACACCTATTGTTTACATAGTAAAATTAATACATAAAAATGTAATTTTGTCCGATAAACAGTGAATTTATGAGTAGATCTTCGTTGATGCGCCACTGATCCCAATATGAGAAAAAATACTTGAAAATTTATTTATGAAATATAAAGTTTATTTCTGTGAAGTGAAGTTCTGGGAAATAAAATTTATTTCTGTGTGAATATAAAATTTACATACCACAAATAAGTTTTCAAGCATCTTTTTCTCAGTATATCTGAGTCAGTGAATAAACTCCTTAAGGCGAAGGAAATTTAATAGCATTTCAAAATTAAGAGTAGAAACGTGACAGAATTATTTTCTCTTTTTTCGTTATGAACTGCAAGGGGGTAGTTAGCCGTAATATACGTTTCAAACGGAGATCGTCCGATGTAATTTCACGGTAAATCCACATGCGCTTTGATTACAGCTGCTTAGCAGCTGCAACTGTCTAGCAAATCCTAGTTGAATCCGCACTGAAATGCCGGACGTTACGGAGAATGCTGGGAGAGACAACTCACCCTCCCACACATTCGTCGTACTTAAGCTGTTCTTGAACAATGCGTACAATATGTATGTAATTGTGCGCTAAAGCTCTTTAGTTTTACTAATTGGATGAAATTAACGGAAAGTCCCGCGATAATCATCTCTCCGGTGATCGGTGCTCGAACGGAAGACACGTCGCCAGAAAAATATGTCGGCGCTCGTCTGAAACATTTTTTTTCGAGGATGAGCATCCAAACAGTCGAGTAAGGTATCGCACAGCGACGAGGGTTATCGATTTGCGTATAAGCTCAACAGAATGACGCACAATATCTTATCGTTTGACATCCTTAATACATTTTCAATATTTTAAGCAAATACACTTTTTACGACGTTGCTTTTGTGATACGATCTTCAGGATCTAGGAAATGACCTTAAGTAAGATTTATTCGTGACAATAAGAATATCGGTTGCATGTATCCTCGGGAGCAGGAACACGCGTATCTGAATGCACACGGCGAGAATATTATAGTTTCTCTTCATATAAATTTCTTTCAATTTTATGTTCTTAGTAACCCAGGAATAGTCTACCTTGCTGAGCGACAAAATGAATTTCGCTAGAAACATAACAAGTGTCTTAATAGCGCCCTTTAGTTCCTAAAATATAAGTGGCACGTATGAAATGAAGGGATGTAGTGAATTGCTGCAGAATGTCAATCTATTCCTTAGTTACGAACTCCTAATTTTTACTATAAAATTCTCTCCGTTCATGCTTGCGCATTTAGTGTGTCGAGAGAAGATTTTATTCACAGATTCGGGGAGATAATATATTTACGAGTTCCGCGAATAATTTACGACTCGATATATTCTAAAGAACAAAAGGAAGACCGCAAGAGCTTTTTCGTTACGGCCGTAATTAAACGTACAAGTACAAACTAAGACTCTTCCTCGTTTAGCGTGTTGTTGGCTCGAGCTTTTTTTGTCCGCATTGTGTGACGTGTATACAGCAGCTCGACCGACTCTGTCTCCAACAATTTCCCGATTAATCGTACAATTAATCTTTCTCGCGACGTGTCCGGCGAGTCGGGCGTTTCTACATTATTCTAGTCAATACGAAGGGAGTCCGCGAAGCGGGTAAATGCAGTCGGCAACAAATCGAACATTAAGCTTCATACAACGAAACTGTGGACAAACGAACCTCATCGTACGCGTAGGCAGTTCGCTTTAACAAGAAGGGGACCACGGCGAGCTAATAACCGTACGCTAGATTCGACAATTGAACAATACAGCCGCCTCTAAGGGTATTATCGTTTTAAATATTTTGCACACACTGAGAAAAATTATCATATGAAATTATCATCGAACAGGCATTCACGATCGAAAGCTGACCAAATTTTATATCCGACGAGAAATATATCGGTTCTCAATGTTTTTATCGGTATATATGATGAATTATATGATCGAAGGTGTCCGATCAAATTTAATCGGGTATTTTGAGTTGATCGAAATTTGATCGGAAGCCGTTTGATGATTCTTTATCGGATAATTTCTCCCGCGCCGGCTCCTCGTAAAATCGTGCTAGTCCTTCCCTCTAATAGATAATAGGATTTTCGTTATAGTAAACTACGAAATGGCGTACACGCGTATTATGTAAAGTGAGATTTTTTATTTCTTAAGTAGATAAGAGCTTTCAACGACGGTCCTTCGCCCGTGCGTAACTAGGGAATTTTATTTTGACTTCAGGATTTTGAAGGACCTAACGGAAAGGCAAATTCGCGCGATTGAAAGAGCAAATCGGTCGAATGTAGGAAAAAGCCGCCAAGTATCGGACGAACGATTTTCCGCATTAGTCGACTTCCCGGCCGGGGCAGAGTTTTTAACGAAATTGACGAAAATGACGTTATCGAGCATTCGACGCGTGTGATTTCATGAAAACGCCGCGACGCGATTTTATGAATGCAGTATCGAACGAAGATGAGGTATTCGACGTTGGCGTGATGCAAAAATCTCAACGTGATAAAAACGAACGAAGGAACAGAGCGAGCGCGCGACAAACAAATTGTTTTGTCGACGGTGAACTTTTGGTCCTTTGGCGGGAGAAGAAGGAGGAGGAAAAACGTGCGCGCTTTGATCGGCGAACACGACAAAGCGGCTGATGCAAACGTGGAAAAAGATATATTTGCGTCAAACTGAGGTCAAATAAAAGCGAATGAAAGAGCACTGCATTTGCGTTTCGATGCTTCTGGGACACTCGGAAACGAATTTTCGACTTTATTCGTGTCGGAGCCGCAACAAATGGCGCGAAATGCGCCCATCTAGAATCCGTAGCGTCGATGAACGAGCTCGTTACAGTGACGTCGAGATTAATTCATCTACGAGGAGGATGCGTGGAAACGATCGATCGTCCGAGTGCTGGGCGCGATGCGGATTCGACAAAAACGTCCTGCAGCATTCGATGTTAAGTAAGCTAAGGTGTACTCGCAGGCATGTGTAAATATGTATGTATATGGGACGCTTGAGAGCATATGTACAAATTTGGCCAAAGTGTATAGATGTTAATTAACGTTGGTGTGTATCTATCGGCAGCGGCGTGAGTTCTCGATCCTCTCGATCACAAAGTATACATATCGATCTTTCGTGCGTCATGCGATCTTTTATCAGAAGATAAGCGAAGGAAGAATTATATTTGTTATAGAGCGAAAGGAAGACAGAGAGAGTACAGTAGGGCACGTAAAGAATATTTTGACAAGTCTAATTGATGAACTTAATGAAACAGATGTGCGCGCGTGTATGTGTGTGTGTGTATCGTATTGTGTAATTTGCAGAGAAAAATTTCAGTTCGTGTAGTTACACAGAGACCAGATAAAAAACTCACTAACGAGAATTAATGGCTTGATCTATAAGTTTGCGCGGATTTTTAAACTAAATTGAAATGCATTTTATTCTTGTTTTAATCTTAATTAATAATATATCCATCATTCTGTTCGACAATTTTTTTCCATCTTTTTCACGTAATTTTATAATTTCTGTCTAGAAACTCTATTATCTTTCTTCTTTTTTTCTGACAAGAAAACGTTCCAAGTGAATCTTCTTCAATATTCTAAAGAAGCGAATTTATGCCGTCAAGGGAATTCTGTAGTGAGACAGATGATAATCGGAGGCGGCAATGTTATACGATGGCTGAGGTAAAACATCTCCCAAATAAATTCTAACAATTTTTATAGAAATGAAAAAGCATAATGCACCGGAAAAACTCATTACTGTCTTCCACTTTCAAGCCGCCACAAAGACAACAGTATTTCCATTAACAGTATCACCTATACCACAAAATATGTTCTGAAATATCAGCTATCAAAGCATATACATAGATGGCACCAATATGCGGATGTCAACTCTGGTGAAAATAATGTCTAATAATACTTTAACTCTTTTTTGCACAAAGAAGAGTTTCGGAATTCTTCAGAGCATAAGAGAAAAAATATTATTAGACATTTGATACTCTTTTTTACTCTTTTATTTCCGCCAGAAAACGAGACAAAAATCCTTACTAATTTATAGATAAATCTAGTAATATCTCTGTTACCAAAATTCATGTTAGTTGCATTAGAACTCAGTCGAGATAACTGAAAGCAATGGGCTGAGTCGAAATTTCCTACAGGAATATTTCGGTGCCTACAACCGAGTTTTTCGTCTGGTTCCCGGGTAACAAAAAATTAAGCTATACTGACGGAGCTGTTTATTCCGTGTAATTAATCTGATAGGGGCGTGACGTGCAAAAGATAATGCATCATATCGTGTGTGTTGGATGAAGCGTTAATTCAATAATCCGATTCTGTATGTTCAAACTTATTGCTCGATTGGATTGATCACTGACATTAATTAATCAACACACGATGCATGATCAGATATAAGTATACGTCTTGAATCTATGCTTTTCCAAAAATTTCGATGTTACTGGCAGGTCCAGCTAATATTAAGTGTTGATTGACATAGGAGAGGATGCTAGTCGTGTAACGCGTAATTTTTGAAACGGATGGTTACGACCGAATTGTAGCAAATCGAAGTGAATCGAATCAAGTTTTCAGATAGTTGCTGTCAGTTTTTGGTTTTTGGTTTTCCAACGAACTGTTTTATCGTGCCAGAGGCAACTGACACGATAAAACAGATCATTTGAGTTCAAAAATTGACGACAACTGTCTCAAAGGTTGTTCTGATCCAATTCGATCTACCTTACTGATTCATAGACAACTGATCATTTGTGCCATCCGTGAATGCACCTTGTAAATCGCTTGATAACTTATTTTGTTAAGCAGCTTTTCATTGAGTTGCGCGGGAATATCGGTAGATGTCTAGTGTCGGAGGCACAAATGATCGTCGTTAACTCGGACTCGGAATTACTGTACATCGTACCAGATCGGAGTAATTGTGTAGGTCTTATGTCATAAATTCATTCAATTCTGCTACGTATTACATTAGGAGCCTATTCGCAGCGAAAGGTTAATCGGCCAAATCATTGGCGATAACCATTAACACTGTCGACAGCGACATGGGAATCATACGCGGATGTGCTCCATTACCATTATTTCAATATTAAAGAACTTTGAAGAATTTACACCTTATAAAGAAAAAAGGAAATACTTGTTTTTAATTTTTGTGAATCTCCAGGGGAAAATTTGCACAGTATGAATGATCTCAGTCTTAATGTTTATAGGATTTATCCTTGAGGATTTATCAGATGGCACAAACTGGCTAAAATGTACGTGAGTTCAGAGTAAACTTTACTCACGTTCAAAGCGAAAATCATTCATGCTGTATGAGTTTTCTTGAAGATTTAATTTAATTTTCACAATTTTCAAACACCAGAAATTAGAGTGAAGAAAAGAGAAACGAAAAACAGCGGGTGTACGTAACATGTACGTTTGTAACGTGTACGAAAAATAAGAAACTTTCTCGCTCGTCGACGGTGTGTTAACAGCTGTTACTGTTATAATATTGTAGAAAAATTGTCCTACGAGAATTGGGATGTATCAATCGATATTGGAACACGGCCGAAACGCTATTTCCACTTCGGCGAGAGACGTTTCCCCTTCTAGATTTCCGCACAGCTTGCCTACGATAAGGAAACTTCTACAACATTGACGCGCGTCGTCGCGTCGATCTCTTATAGTCAATACGATGATACAGATCGATATGCGAAAGGCTGCTGACATATAAGTGCACGAGATAATAAAACGAGAAAAGTATAATTCGTTATCGCTCTGAAAAAAATGTTGATGTAACTTCGATGGCCTAAAGTTCAGTCTCTACTGAAAACAAATACGCATCTATATCTAACAGTCATAACTGCGCGCCATAATTAACATACTGATGACATAAAATAAATTTATAATAAAACCAAGATGTACTGCATCCCTTTCTTAATGAGACAGAAAAGAAATAACTCAAATGTTCCAAACTTCCTGTTTTCCTTCTTATGAAAATTAAGCCCATAAATATTAACAATGTTTGCGGAACATCATGTTTATGCGTTCCTAACCAGTTTGATTCCTTCCTTTACTCCGTCTAATGTAAGATACTGGTTCCCTAATCAATACGACTCGACTCGACCCAGCAATCTCATAATTTCACTGTTATCTTTTTGAAGACCTCATTTAAGGAAAGAAATAGTAGATGACTCTTGAACTATTGGCCGATATCGAGTACGTCATTCTCATAATCTCAAGGGAAAAGAAAAATTTTAGAAAGACCTAATATTTATATACACACACACACTGTAATAAGACGTTTTATAAAGACGAAGAACTCAAATATTAGCTCAAAATATTTATATTTCAAAATTATAGATGAACCATTCCATCTTAATGTTTGTCCATCTAATGTAATATTTCTGGTTATTTTTCTGGGCCACTTTCACTGTAAATCGATTCTGTGGACAATCTATTTCAACAAAGAGCAAGTTATCAAAAACTGTCATCAAATAAAGAATTTAATTACATATTTTGATTTGATACGTACAAAGAGGAAAAAACGAAAGAAACATCGCGAAGAATTCGAGCAGCGACCTGTTTAACTATTCAAGTTTCCCACGGATGCCGAGACTTCGGCGTCGGTGGCGCTGGCCTTCAAAGACCGGAGGAGGATCGATACCTGGCATCACCGGCCGAGTGCCAATCCGCGATGCAAAATTCTCCACAAGCCGGCGTCTCGCAGACTGCTGCCTGACGAGATGGCGAGTGAGATTAATTGACATATAATCGGCAAAGACCAAAAATAACATTTGCGCTCGCGACGAAATCTCGCGGACTTTATCGACCCAATTTTTACACCACGAGATGTCGCTGAGCTCGTTTTATCGCCTAGAAAATGGCTGACCTAACGAGGCTCTCGCAGTCGACGAGAGAGCGTCGTGTCGAACGTTCGGAGCACGTGGCTGTTTGCGAACGTCATCGTTCACGCGTTAACTGCGAGCAAGTCGCACGAGCGAGATCGCGTTTTATAAAGTGCACATCGCGTTCCAGCGTCGCGATGCAGTTCCAGCGTGCACGGTGACGTTCGCGTACGTATGCTTCCAGCCAAGCTCCCTCACAAATCGTCCAACGATTCGGCTGTTAGATGCTATGGAGACTTAACGTGTCAATTATGTAAAGTCGCCATCGAGCAAACTATGGATCAATGAACGTCCGAGGAATGGACGTTGTGACAGACAATTATGTTTTTGCGCAATCACATTGAGAATCAAACGTAACGCACCAAGTTTATCAGAATCACACGACTGACATGCTTTGCTGCTGACGGACGTTGCTTCTCGACGCTCTTGTGACAGCGACTTAAAGTGATCCAAAGGTGCATTGCAATTAACCGGCAAGTCAGATGCAATGATCGCACGAAAAACTCGTGTGTTCAGCGTGTAAGCGTGTAATCCCAAGACTGGTTTTCACCGATGATTGCTTTGACCGGTGTTTACATGTACATTAACGTGTCGGTTGTGCGTGTGTGTGCACGACTGCGCAGATGTGAAACACGTGTACGACCGGTTACTTGAGGGATCTACATGGATTTTTGTGTGAATGATTTCTTTTTCCGCGCCTTTCTCTTGTTTCTACGGAACATAAATAATATAAGCTTTAAAAACGCACAAAGATATTAATTATTAGTTTCTCGATTTTTTTTACTTGATTGCACTTCGTGAAGTACTTACTATGTACGACTACACTTTTTCCACGCTTCCATAGTCACATGTTTCGTTCAACCTCGTGCTACTCTTAAAATCCCTCGATAAGATAAGATATTTGTTATCAAAGCATTGTGGTACCGATTGTGGAATTAATCTATTAGAAATATTTCAGAAGCTCTCAAGATAATAAAAGTAGAAATGAAATAATAAAAATTTCACATTAAAAATCACGCACAATCTCGATAGTAATGTAAAATAAATTTAAAATAAAAATGTTCCACCAAGATCTTTCCTCGACATTCGAACTGATAAAAGTTGAAAATTAAGCTGTTTCTCGATTTTATAAATCTAATTCGTAATATATCTGCATAAAACACAACGTAGCACTACAGTTTGGCTTACTTAACAAGCCAACAGAATATATCACGGTTAATTTGAAGCGCATTGTGTACATCCATTGCTAATCCCAAAAGGTTACGCGGGTCATTGTGCAAACAGTTGAATGTAGTTGGGGAAAGTAAATACGAAATCTTCAGATAGTAGACTAATCTCCGACTGATAACACATAATTTCACCTGAATTGATACCAATATAGATACAGGAAGAAGAAAAGAATTTCAGTCAGTTGACTACAAAAAGCTAGCTCAGCACGGAGACGAACGTGTGCGGTCGCCTGTTATTGGAAAGTGCTGAAGCAACAGACTTCGTAAGAATGTCGAATGTGTGAGCCAGTCGAACGATAGAAAGACAGGAAGCCGGTGGTTTAGTAACTTGTATTGAAAAAATCTACTTTAACAAAAGAAAAAATGGGTGCAAAAAAATGTATACCTACGGTGAGTTTTTTTCTTCTCTCTTAAAAAGATATCAGTAGTGAATGGACGGGGTTATCTGCTGATACTAGGAATAGGATTTGGAGGACGGAACCAATAAATATGACATGTACATAGAGAGGAGTCACGTACATGTACATATCAATTGTGATATATTTATCGGCGCGGCTTCATCCTCGAAATCCCATCCCTGCATGATACTTGTTTATAATAAGCAACGAAGGTTCATTTCGCATAAAATAATATAAAATGATCAATAGATATACAGAATGTCTGAGAATTTATGACATATCCGTTGTATGTAGAACTCATCAAACTGAACACAAAGTTTCCCTTTATCATATTCGTAATAAGAGTATTGTGTTACGAATGCGATAACCACGCTACATTTCTGTATCACCATGTATCTTTCTTTTTCTTATAACTTATAACTCATCAAATATCGTCTTTATACAACTTATCTAGTATCTGAGAAAAATGACGTTCTTTCTCGATAGAAAGAATTTAAATTTTATAACGTAATGAAATATAATTAAACGTATATGAAATTAGAAACTATTTTGCAAACGACCTCGTAAAATTTTGAGTTATTTTTTAAAGAAGTTCAGCGAATGATTACGGCGCACGAATGAACGCGCACAATCATACACCAATCTTCTTTAATTAATAACTAAAAATTCACACGGTTATTTGCAAAATGGTAGAGAATTCTTTTGTTCAGTTTAATACGAAATCCTAAAAATACAAGCACGCGACGACAGATGTCGTCATCACAACTCATTTGCTATGTTGCGCATGTGCTGATGCACCAAACTTTTTTAATAATTCAAAATTTTACGTAATTGTTTGCGAAATTATTGTAGATAAATTTTTTATTCAGTTTGGTGAGTTCCACCTGCACACAAGTGTGTCATAAATTGTTAGATACCTTGTACAATGTATAATGCTTAACTGTGTTAAGCCTTCACAGTCCCATCATGCATTGTTTGATATTGTTAGGAGATTATCAATAGATTAGATCTTCTATGTCGAGATTGTGCCTACTTTTTTCGGATTTATTTGCTGATATTCTTTAATTAGTTTCTTAATAATTATCGCGTTTGCAAAACGTTAAAGAATTTCTGTATTTAGTTTAAACATTTGAATATACTCTATCCGTATATAAGCATAGTGACGCGAATCGTCAGATATCTTGTACAATAATTGTACGTTATACGGCAAGTGAAGCGTTCAAATTTCATGACGTATTGTGTCAACAAAAACACAACGTAGATTCAAGGAAAACAACTAGAATATTAGTCCTAATAAGTAGCTATCCAAATGTATCCATTTCTAATTTCATACGTTATAAAATTCAAATTCTTTCTATAGAGAACGTCATTAGCGAGTTTTCCCAGATAAGTTGTATAAAGTCGACATTTGATGAGTTATAAGTAGAAAAAGAAGGTACAATGCACAGTAGCATGATTATCACATTCGAAGCACAGTACTCTCGCTATGAATATGATAAGACAAATCGCAGAAAAAAATAATATTGAAAAACTATATGCTGACAAAAGAAAAAGTTTTATGATGTAATTTGAATGAAAGCATAACTATCGAATCTTGATATCTCAACTTGGACTTATATACATGATTAAGACTACTTGAATAAATCGTGTTAACTAAGATTTCAATAAAAACAAGCATATCATGTTGAATTACATCTCAATGTTTATTTGGCAATTTTCAGATGGCTTATGGCCCGTCTATTAGTGGAATACAAATAAGTGATGGATTATCCACTAGTGAACAAGCAACACAGCAGAATTCTCAGAGTACCCAGACATTACATTTGGATTCCTCTGAGCAACTGCAAATAGTGAAAAAGAAGGTTGCAGACATTATGCTAGAGAACTATACCAAACTTTTTCAGGCGGACAAGTTACAGGAAAATTTACAGGAGCAATTCTTCTATGAAAATTTTCATATCGGATTTCTCCATAAAAATATCCAGTCAGTACAGGAGAAACCTTTTACGATACTCCAGGCAATACAAGAGGATATCTCTAATGGGAATTCTCAGGCCCTAGAGGACAAACTCTCCCATGAAAATCTTCACATTGTGAAAAAAGGATCTCCCTATAAACATGTCCAGCCAATACAGAAGAAATCTCTTACGATACCCGAGACAATACAAGAGGATATCTCTAATGGAAATTCTCAGGTCCTAGAGGAGGTACCCTTCTATGAAAATGTTTGGCTCGTGGAAGAGAACTTCTCTCACAGGAAGGATCAATTGGTACAAAAGAAACTTTCTTATGAGCAATTCAAAATGGCATTGAAGCAGTCTCAAGATATTTGTCAGGACATAGAAGAAGAATCTTCTAATGAAAGTATTCCAACTTTGATTGAACTTCCTTTTATAGGATCCTTTTGTAAGTCGATAGAAGAGGAGTCTTTTCATGAGAATGACGAGATAATATATGAAAAGTGTGATGAACTCAGTGATGAATTCAGTGATGAAATTCAGATTAAAAAAGCATTTTTCCATGAAAATGTTCAGGTTGTAGAAGAGTTCTTTCAAGAAAGTGATCATGACGAACAGAAGAAATCTTCGTGTGAAAATGTTCAAACTATAGATGAAGGATCTTCTTGCAGGAATTATCAGTCGATAGAAGAGATACAATCCACCCATGAAAATGACCAGACGACACAGGAAAAGTCTCTCAATGATGAAGAGGCACCTTCCCATAAAAATGTTCAGGCCGTAGAAGAATTCTCTCAAGAAAATGATCATGACGAACAGAAGAAATCTTCGCGTGAAAATGTTCAAACTATGGATGACGGATCTTCCTGCAAGAATAATCAGTCGGCAGAAAAGATACAATCCTCCCATGAGAATGGCCAGACGACACAAGAAAACCTCTCTTATCGATATGTTGAGGACGTAGAGGATAATACATCTAACACAAATGACCAGGAGGAATCTTTTCAAAGAAACGGGGGATGTTGCATGTGGTTTAAAAAAATATCAGTAGAACCAACAATGTGGTTCTACATGATGGCATTCATGTTCACATCAGTGGTCGAGCAAGCCTTTTTCGTGTATAAGGCGTGTCGGGTGGATCATGGACACTCGGAAGAAGTTTGCTTGCACCTAAACAATTATACGGACATAAAAACCGAAGTGCAGGTAAACATTTTTACGTATGATACGGAAAAGAAGCAGAAGAGAGATAAAGAGATGTGATGAGGGATACGAATTTTGTCTCGGTAGAATATAATTTAATGACGGACCCTATAAGAAACGTCGATCGGCTGTAAGATCGTTAGATTCGACTGAAAATATTTAGCTTAGTAATTAGCTCGATAACCTACGGCTCTAGTACACCTAGTGATATATCACGTTAATTAATAACTACTTGTCTGATTGAGATATTGTGGTTACAAAAGCGTCAACATCGAAAAGAAGTGTTTATTAATTTAGATAATTGAAGACGCGCGTTATCAAGACGTGCACGTTATCAGGACGATTATTTAATTAAAAATTTGTAGAAGATGAAATAAACACATACGTAGAATAGAACGTATTTTAATAAAGTTAATAAATATGCTCAAATATCTTTCTACTGATAAACTGCTCATATTTCTATTTTGTTGAGAAAGACGCAAAGAGAATACAACTGAACATTTACGTGAAACATTTTAACATAAAATCATAATTACACCGACGTCAAGATCTGCGTTAAAATAGTAAATAATTTCTCTGCAAATATAACACGATATCTCAATCCTTTCGTGGTGAAAAATAGTTATTTTAGTTTGACTTGGCGATAATTGACTCTCAACTTTCGATTGTGACTCGTTAAAACAAGAAAATCATCTTGCAGAAAACCGTCTCCGAATTCCATCAGTGGTACAACATCGCCGGACACGTCATACCTATCATTCTAGCGTTTTTCTTTGGCAACTGGAGTGACCGGCGCGGACGCAAATTGCCGATCATCATCGGTCTGACAGGAAAATTGATTTACTCCCTCATGATCGTGGTCAACAGCCTGATGGAGAATTGGAATCTAAATATGGTGACGTACACGGCCGTTATACCGATGGCTATAACGGGTGCAGACGTTATCATCTTTGGCAGTTGCTTCGCCTATTTAACGGACATATGTTCTCTTAGGGAGAGAACTATGCGGATCACGATTTTGGATATTGTTTACCTTAGTACTATGCCCATAGGTAAGGACCGATTTGTTCCCGGTGATATATTATCGTTCCACAGAAGTAATTATTTGTAAAGACCTGGTCTACAATAAATGTCGTAAGAATTAGATAATTATAATCGACTTTTCTTGTAATAATTGATTGTAATTGACCAATTCTTACGACTTACGAATTGCGGCATCTATCTTGTAGATCAGGTCAAATTAATCACCTTCAGACGTAGTAGAATTTCAATGGTAAAAATGTTAAGAAAAACATATATTTTGGATTTCTCTTAACGTTTTTCACTGCTTCGTTTTTTTATCTCCCCCCTCTCCTTCTGCGAATGCAATCGCATGAAATAAATTCGTCAAATATTCGTCAGTATTCGAGGATACGACTCATTCGCATAATCCATTACACGTCTTATTTATTTGCAGGTATTGCGCTAGGATCTTACGTATTCAACAACGTCGTCAATTCATCCTACACGATTATGTTCATCATAAACTCGTGCTTACTCGTGCTAGCAATTATTTACTCGTTCGTGAAACTCGAGTGGCAAACGTCATTGGAACAGCAACCACTTGTCGGCATTAACTTTCTGAAGGATTTCTTCGATATCAAACACGTCAAAGAGACCGTGGAAACGATGTTTAAATGGAGACCGAATAGCAGAAGAATGTGCCTGATGCTAGTTATGTTGTCAATGTGCCTGTACACGTTTCAGAGAGATGAGAGATCTATGAGTTTCCTCTATACTCAATTGATCTTCAATTGGGATGTGAGCAAGTTTAGTAACTTTCGAACGTTCCAGTCATCCCTCTTCGTAGCAGGTCAGTTGGACACACATGTGATCGAAATCGGGTCAAGTCGATATTCCATGAATCCCGAGATCCCATAGTGAGACCGGGAATCGTGAGTGAAAGGAGAAATTTTTTATCGAGACTGAGAACTTTCACTCCCAGCTAACTTAACGTTCTGACCGTAATAAAAAAATTACGATCTTGTTACGCGAAATTGAAACCACTCGTGCAGAGGTTCAGTTTGCCATGTAAGGAAATATGATCGTTGAATTGTCGATCGCTGCCGCGTCCGGTCGAATCTGGAATCGCTTTTACTACGAATTCTATCTGCGAAGTTTCTTTTCTCTAAGCTACTCGAATGTTCAAAGTTTTTCTCTGGATATTATGTGTTCCAAGAAAAAGTTGCCATTACAAAAATAAACGTTCGAAGTAAATACAGACTCGTATGTGTGTTATCGTGTGTATAAGATGAAGGAAATGTATGTTAGACATTGCTGGAAAGACACAAGGAGATAATCTAATGTAAAATATTCTTGTTTCAGCGATGCTATGTGCGACGCCAATGATGAAATACTTAAAACTGAAAGACACTGCGATTACAATAATTGGGGCGACGTCACACGCAGCTGGAAGACTGGTGTTTATCGTGGCGCACACAGGACAACTATTTTACGGCGGTAAGTAACAGATAATCGTCTTCTAACGTTATACGTCGTAAATATTATAATAATGTCGATATAGCACTCACACATTAAATATTTCCCAACGCGATTATCAATCTATAGATTTAGATGAAATATTAAACCTATATCGTGTACAAAACTTGACAAATAACATGACGATAAATTAATTGTACGTAATAATTATATCGTAGGTGCTGTTGTTGCTGCATTAGGACCAGTGGTAGCTCCTGCACTTAGATCTATGGCCTCTAAATTTGTAACAGTGGAAGAGCGAGGTATACAATCCTATTCGCTAAGGATTCGTTTTATTTTGCATCACCGTACGGTTTTACGCGGAAATTGAAACCGATATCTGATTCAGGTCAATTAATAGAACACAATCGCTTGAATAAAAGTGAGAGAGAAAAAGATAAATAATATTATTAGCGCTATAAATGTACAAAAAAATTTTGCATCAATTATCATGCTTGTATTTTTGCAAATGCATACACGTCACTACCTCTTGTGTTTCTATATCGAAATCCGAACTCGTTTTCATGTACCGGTTTCAATTTTATGCCGCATTGACGATTTCTCTTCTTTCATCGCGAGAAAAGATAATTATGTTACCGGTTCTTTATTTCTCAGGAAAGGTATTCGCGATACTCTCCGTATTCGATAATGCGGTTCCGCTAATTAGCAGCGTTTTATATTCGCAAGTTTACAACGCCACCATCTATACAATGCCCAACTTCATATATTGGTTGACGTTTATAACGCAAATCTGCGTTGTATTGTTAGCTATGTGAGTACATTTTAATTCTTTTACCTAGTTTTACATAGTTCCTTGTATAAATTTTTTTACTTTAATATTTTTTACTTTAATTAAAGAATATATATTAAAAGGGGGAGGGGGGAGAGAGAGAGTGTGTGTATGTGTATAAGTATATATGTGCGTACATATGTATTGAATTACTTCAATTTAGCGTTCAAATAATCTAATTTTTTCATTATATTTTCAGAGTAATCAACTTCACTCCATGGAATGTACGCGCCATCACGTGCCGTGACAACTCAGAGTCTACATAACTTAATATATATCTTATAATTTTATCGTCTTCAAAAGTTATTATATGGTGAACAGTTATTTGTTTTTACTGATGATCTGAATTTAGGACACGCAATAACGCTATAAATTGTTGTCTATGCATAATACATCTAAGATCATAACTCATTGGTAATATAGAGGTTTAAGACTGTTTACAGATAACATTTACAATTTAAAAGTTACAAAACATTTCAGAGAAGAAATGATCCATACAACGGAATTCTGTTCATAATATTTTGTTTATAAAGAAACAAAAAATCAGTATATGATCGAGAAAAAGTATATATATATATATATGTATGTGTGTGTATATATATATATATATATATATATATATATATATATATATATATATATATATATACATATATATAAGTATGTATGTGTCAGAATTTTTATATATATATATATATATATATATATATATATATATATAT